AAGAACCAGGTGAGGTGGCTCATACCTGTAATCCTAGCACTCTGGGAAGACAAGGCAGGTGGATTACCTGAGGTCACAGGTTTGAGACCAGCCTGAGCAAGAGCAAGACCTGGTCTCAAAAAATAGGTAAGCCTTGTGGTGGGTGCCTGTAGTCCCAGCTACTCAGGAGGCTGAGGCAAGAGAATCACCTGAGCCCAAGAGTTTGAGGTTGCTGGGAACTGTGATGCCAAGGCACTCTATCGGGGGTGACAAAATAAGACTCTGTCTCAAAAAATGAAATAAAATAAAATAAAACTATACTATTCTTCTTCCTGCTTGAGTTCTAATAGGGAATAAAACTTAAAAATGAATTAATTGTCTTGATGTACATTGATACTGTCACACACAGAAATAAACAAACCCTACAGATGCTCAACAATATAAATTTTGAAAGAAACTGGGAGAGACATCTCAGGGGTAGGATGCTACGGCAAGGACATGTGAGCACGGATTATAAACTTCAAAGAGCTAACACGCAAAAAAAAAAAAAAAAAACTGATCCTTTAAAACTCAGTTGTAGAAATAAACTTCAGCAGCAAGTACTTTTTATTAAAAAAAAATCCAGGCGTGGTGGCTTACTCTTATAATCCTAGTACTCTGGGAGGCCGAGACAGGTGAACTGCTCACCTGAGCTCACAGGTTCCAGACCAGCCTGAGCAAGAGTGAGACCTCATCTCTAAAAATAGCCGGGCGCTGTGGTGGGCACAACCCTTGAGCCCAGCAGTTTGAGGTTGCTGTGAGCTATGATTCCATAGCACTCTACTGAGGGTGACAAAGTGAGACTCTGTCTCAAAAAAGAAAAAGAAAGTAGACATGTCTGGTCACCGCAGCTAGAAAAAGCTATAATGGTACGTATCACAAATGCAGCAGAACGTTGGTGTGAGATGGAGGCCCCTGCTGCGTGCCCAGTGATAAGGGGGCCAGCCCTGCTGCTAAGAAACAGGGAAATGAGGAGGAACAAAGTCGGAAGAAAGGAACAGAGCAAACAAGAAACTAAGGCTTCTCACAGCTCAAACACTGAGCCTCACCTAAAAACCTCAGCTGGCAAAAAAAAGGAACTGTTGTTTCACATGACGGCCCATAAATACACTGACAAGAAATTCAAATAGGTCATACAGGGTAGGTAATTTGTTAGTGCAGAGCCTCAGACACGTACGAACAGGAGGATTCAAAGTAGGGTGAACCTCGAGGACCATTTTTACAGCATAGATCTTGAGGCTGTCATGGTTTTTTTGGAGAAAGGGGGGAGCTAAAATAATCGAAATTTATTTTTCACCGTTCCAGAGGCTCTAAGCCTGAGATCAAGGAACCAACACTGGGGTTTCTCAGAGGCTTCTGTCCTTGGCTTGCAGGTGGCCAGCTTCTCACGTCCTCACCTGGCCTCTTCTCTGTGCAGGACAGGGACACTTGGCTTTTATACACATTTCCCACAACCTGAGGTCACTAGTACACCAATTCCTTGCTTAGAAAATGAATAATTAGGCAGTACCGTAGCTCAGTGGGTAGGGCGCTAGCCCCCACATACACTGAGGCTGGAGGGTTCAAACCTGGCCCGGGCCAGCTAAAACAACAATGACAACTGCAACAACAGCAACAAAGCTGGGAGTCATGGTGGGCACCTGTAGTCCCAGCTACTTCGGAGGCTGAGGCAAGAGAATCACTTAAGCACTAAGAGTTTGAGGTTGCTATGAGCTGTGATGCCACAGCACTCTACCCAGCATGACAGCTTCAAACTCTGTCTCAAAAAAAAAGATAGAAAATGAATAACTAAACAGAAAGTATTAAAAATCGACCGTGTCTTCTCAGTAGAAATTGTATTTCAGAGAAACCAATAGCGCCAGATGATGAGAGGAAGCTTGTCCTTTCAGAAGCATGATAAATAACAGAATTAGAAAAATCAGCCTGAAAACTCCTAATGAAATAATTAAGTCAGGCAAAGGTAATCAATGGATATTTAAAACCGTTAAAAATGAAAAGTTGACGGGGAACTGGATGCTTGTGTGATGACAAAATACCAGTTGAAAAGAAAATCTACCTTTAAAATAAAAAGATCAGACATCACAAAATTCTCACTTTTTTTGGTGTCTTGAATCCAGCAGGCTACTGGAACTTGCCTGCTCCTCTGACTCCGTCATTATTCCTCTGCCATACAGGGATCATTGGCTCTATCCACGGACTGCTTAGTACCACTTCTCTGGGCAAGCTCAGAAAGTGAACAATTGCAAAATACTCCACTACCCTGGCAACTTCTAGGCACAGGTTACCAGCACTAAACTTTTTCTGGAATTTATGATCTAAATTTCCAACAAGAAGTCCCAACGATACCTTGAAACTCACTCCCTATATCAACTAGTGATGGACCACACACAAGAATATCCAGAATCATCTTTAACTGTGCCCTCTTCTCCCCAGTCCCACGGTCTTACTGATCCAGAAGTTTGTTTTGTTTTTGTTTACCGAGATTCCACTCCTTGCAGATAAAGGCTAGATCAAGGTCAACTTGTTTCTCCCCCTGAAACTGTAGCAATGGCTTTAACTAGATGCCGGCTCAAGCCTTATCCTCTCAATGTTGTAGGCTGCTTCCCAGCAGAGGACTTTCCTAAGACATATGCTGGGAGACTTTACAGCCGCATAAACGCTGAAGGTAGATCAGGGGAGCTTTCAGACCATGGTGTTTGCTGTACCACACACATCTCTGCACCTTCACTCTTGCTTTCTTTGAGACTAGACTCCCAATAACATACTGCTATAGAAATACTTATGTTCTTCAAAGCCCAGTTCAAATGCTACTGTCTCTACGGAGGGAACATTCCCTGATTCTCACTAGAACTGATCAAGTCATGTTTTTGGTTACCACTATGTTCTAATTTTCCTTTATAGTTCTAAGTTGTAATTCAGTTCATTTTTAAAATTGCTACCTCCCCTATTATAGGGAAGCCTGGGCAGAAGATCACCAGTCATCTTTAAACCCAAGCACTTAACACAATAGCCTATTCCAATGCGGACAGGTTTTGATTGAACTTTTTTTTTTTAATGTTTCCTATTTCATAGAGTTTTAGAATCCTGCAATTTTAAAATATCACTTTCACACATTGTTCCAAAAATTGCTGAGGGACTGCTTTAAAGAGGTATCAAGAAAAACTTCAGTAAAATGCATTTTCAGTGAAATATAATGACTGTACTTCTAGATGTACACTAAAAGATGTATACCATTGTTGCATGCCTCTTTCAATTTCACGGCACACCTACAGCATACAAAGTCCAATGTAAATGTGATTATTTCCACTTGCATCTGAAAAACAGTTTGTTATTTCTCCATTGATGTCAATTACAGCGTGTAATTCATGCAGCCAGGGAATACAGAATAATCTTATTAAGAGATAATGGCTAAAGACCATAAGGTCTGTCCTTTTACACTGCACCTACAGAATTCTATAATTTTTATATTTATACAATCCAGTTCGAGGAATTATATAAGAAAAATAAAAGTGGCAGGCGCCACTCATAACAAAAGTTTCCCTCATTTGTGAAGTCAACAGTGAGTTCATATATTAATTCATGTATGATGTATGTAAAATCCAGTCATTTACGGCAATCTCAAATCATTATCAATGAAGAAAAGAATTTTTAAAATACATGATGTCGTTTAATGGATAGTATCTTGCAGGTACTATCCGCGATGGCAGTTTGGATGGAGCGTGAGCCTCTGAAGCTGTGAGTCTGTGTTTATAACGTGAAGACACCGAGAAACATCACTACATTCAAGACACTGTCCACATCACAACACACGCTTGAACGTTCACTGCTGCCCACTGAAATGTATACAGCACATTCTAGACTCAATTTTAAAATATATGTTTTAGTATAATTTTAAAATTATGGTCGTCTTAACTATGTTTACGCAAGATTATATATACTCACGCATCA